GGCCGACGACGGTACGGCAGCCGGGCCGGGCGTATAAATATTTAGGCCACGAGGATAAGAAATGCAGCCTGGTTATCCAGGAATAGTAGCTCGCTTCGGACGACTCGTGCCCTTTGACGCGGTGCAGTACCTTGATAATGCATAACTAGATCTTGTACACGGCCGAACAGCAGAACGGAGCTAAGTAGATCAGAGATTCCTGATAAAGTTCGGTAGTTCGAAGCCGACTAACTACTCGACTTGGTAGAGAAGAGGTTGCGCAGAGTTGGCGGAGTTCCTTGGAACTTTGGCTCTCCGTGACCGGATAGCTGCGTTGCGCTCGATGTTTGTTTTAAACGCAGTTCCTGCTTCCACGTGCGGTCACGGATTTCTAAAAGCAGCTTCCCTGACGACGGTTCAATGAGATTTTGGCTGGAACAAAAGGGGCGGCTCTGCTGGAATTCGATCGCCCAAATGCTTTTGTTATCGAGACGATCGCTAAAATACCGTAACTGGCACTCTCACCCTATCTCGAACGACCGTAGCAAACTCGCCGATGCGAAGGACGAAAATAAATCCCGTGGGTGTTATCCGGACGAATTTTCCAGCGAGAAAATTCTCCTACGTTAAATGGAGGATTCGTGCAAGCAGGAAAAGCGCCCATACGCTTCCAAGTCTCGATTCGAAGTCGCGTGAATCGAAAGAATATCGATGACCGGAGGGAACACTTTAGAAGAGAAAGTCCGATGAGCCTGTGCTATTCGGAATGCACTCAATGGCAGGTTTTTTGCGCTCGCCTAAGATCGAGCTTATCGATGCCAACCAGGGGCGCGGGTTCAAAGATATATATACATATATATATATATATATATATACATATATATATGTATGTAGGTGGCATGAACGCACACGTAGAACCGAAGACAAGCGGGTGTAGGTGGACGGATAGAGAGCCGCTCGGGGTCAGAGATTTAAATTCCCTCGCTGCAATATCCGAGTCGTTTGATGTTCCTTCCAAAGGGCAGACTGTACGGAAGCCAACTTGGAAATGGCTTCTCGTGCACCAGGCTGCTCTCGTCTCTCGTCCTGCCGTCCCCTTTCCCACTGAATGGCCGTTCTAAAGTACACACACCGCCAAGGAATATGATGTACAGCCAACACGTAGAATAACTTCCATAACGATACGACTACACCTCTGTGTACGTGTGCGTGCGCGTGTGCGTGTATACCTGTGATACAGGCGCGTGTATACATATGAAATGGTGGAGCAACGCTGACGGACTCGTCTAGGCCATCGAGGAGACCCTTTAAAAGCTTTTCCCTCGACTGCAGACCGCGACCATCCGCGAAACTTTTCTGACAGCCCCGCTCGGCAGCAAACAAAAGCTTCCAACGAACAAGGGACGATCGCCGTTCGCTAATACGACCGAGCGACTTTCCTAAATGCAGTTGGAGAACGCTTTAACAAGATCCCCGAGGAGTCATAGAGGCAAAGGCGACGCTTTAATCGAGTTCATTTACGTCGTAGAACTGGGAGGTGATGAACACCGCGGTGTTGACGGGTCGCCAAGTGTCCCAGGGGATGAAGGTCTTCATCGTAAGCCAGGCCGGAACCGTCGCCGACGTTACGCTGCAATCCTCCTGTCACTCGGAGGACGAGAGTGTGCTTAAGGTACGCGACTTTCCGTTTCCAGCTTTACGAGAAGAATCGTTTCTAACAAGGTGTTACGTGTTGTGTTACAGGTATCATCTTCTTGTAGCAGCGTGTACGTGGACGGCACGGAGATACGTGGCTCCAGCAACGCGTCAGTTCTCGTTAAGTACGGTACTTACACAGGGCTGGCTAAATTCACAGTTTGGATGCCGGAATTCCCTTTGGAGATGACCGTGGCGGACACCAGATTAAGTCAGATTAAAGGCTGGAAAGTTCCCGAAGAACACGCTGTAGGGGCGAAAAGCAAGCGTAGTCTGAACTCCACCAATTCACGTTCCAACGAATCCAGCACGAAAACCAAAAAGAGGAGCGCCGCGGAGTTGGAGGACACTTCGATGGACATCGAAGACGCGGATGTGATTTTGGAAGAAGACGAGCAGGAGGAAAGATTTCGAGGAACCGATAACGGATGGGATACGATCAATTCTATAGATAGGGGATCTTCTACCAATTGCAGACTACGATTCCAGCAGAGTCCTATCGAAGTACACGCGAGATTCCTGGCCACCGACCACGATTCAGGAAGAGTCTCTTACTTCGTGAATCGTCGTACCTGGCTACGAGTGACAGATCTGGTGAACGGAATGCTTCGAGTTTCTGATCCCAGGATCGCTGACCTGTTACAAGGGAGGATCGTTCAAGGTCGTGGAGTGGGTAGAACGGAGGTGCAGGTTCTTTCGCCGATTACGAGCAAAGTAATCGGCGCGAAGGAAGTGCGAGTGGTTAACGACCGTGTGGCGGTCACCAGGTTGTCAGTTAGAGTGGTGTCTGGATTACAACTCACTATTAGTCCGGACACTGCTATAGAAAATGGATATGTCGCGGAGACGTCGGTGACGAGGAAGCTGACTGCTCAGTATCAGGTGAGGTACATGTTTCTCTTGTTAGCGTAAAATATCTATCGAGTAAGAGATCTAGCTGCGAGGAAGAAACGATCGAATTTCAATAAGGAAATTCGTTATTTTCCTCGTTAGGGATTTCTATGCAGATACATCTTTTCGTTGATACGATTAACGAAACCGCAGATCTATTTCGTTCGCTAAATATTAGAAGTAACATTTATGATTTGAATATTTTCTTGCATTTATTTGAAAACGAAGCTTGCTTCGGATATTTTTACGCGGCAATCGGATTATAATCTTTCGCATTTCTGCATCGAACATAGGAGGGACTGCTGGATATAGACGTGGAATTTTCTGACGGTACGAGAACACCGTTGAGAGAAATCGCTGTGAACGATTACCACTTGTTAGTGGAGAGTCTAGACCCGGAAGTGGTGGCATTCGCTCCGATGGTCGCTTCTCATCATCCTCGAGTGATTGCGGTCGGCGAAGGGAGAGGCGATTTGTTACGAGTCAGTCTTCAATTGGCTGACGCCTGTCGTCTAACCGGCAGGAGGTCTGGAAAAGGATCTCAAAGAGCGACCGCGGCAGCCCTTGCCAGCGCTTCCGCCAACGTTGAGGTGGACTTTGCCTCGAGCGATCTTCCCAATCGACCCGAGTTCGTACAGAATGACGGAGGTGGAACGGTTGGCTCTCATCATCACAGAGAAAGGAAGACCAGCAGGGGAGAGATGGCGCCTGATTTGCACGACATTCTCATCGGTAAATAGATCCAGTTCTCCTTCGTCGCACGCTCTTGCACTCTTTTTCTTTTCGATGAATGCCACTGTATATTTTGGTAGCGCTTCACGTCCTCTAACTTCCATCCATTTCTATCTCCGCCAATCTCGAAACTTAGCGTAAATCGTGTCGTTTGTTTTATTATTGGTCGTCCAATAAGTCCGTGTCGCGTGATTAAAACAACCGAAACGACGAATCTTATGAAATTTAGATCAGAGCTAGTGCCTGAGAGGAGAAGATCAGCGAATAATAAGTATTTTGATTTCTAGATAAATGATCAGGGATAACTATTGTAACGACCAAATAGCCAAAAAGAATAAACTGCTCGGACTTGTCGGACGAACAACGTAACAGCTTCTTTCGCTTTCCATCACCTTCCGGTTTCTTCGTTTGAATCTCCGTTGCTCGTCACTTCGCCATCGCTTCGAATCTTCTCCATCGCTCGATCCTGTATCGCTTAGCGAACTGACGGGTCCAGTGAGCGTGCGTACGAGTAATATGCGAGAATTCTTCGACCTGTCAGCTTCGACACGCTCTCTCTTTGTCCGTGCATGACGCAAAGCATCGATGTCGCTTTTCTGCAGGCAGCTGGTCGCGCGGGAGGATACGCAGCTAGCCGGGAGCTGCCTCGTTCTCTACTTCCAGTACTCGTTTCTCACTCTTCTCCTCTCTCTTCCTGTCTCTTTGTTTTTTGTGCAAAGGGCTACCGCTGAAAGACGAGAACGGGCACGAGCACGAGCACAAGCACGAGCACGAACCTTTGGTGCAGGCACGGCAGCACCGCACGGCTATAGCTAATGGCATGTCTTCAGGAGGAATGGGCGGTGTTGGGATACGGCATCACGGAGTAAACCGTGTGAGCCCACTCGAGATCGGAATGTACGTCCTTCTGGCAGCCTTCTGTTTCGCCATCGTCGTCTTCCTCATCTCCTGCGTGGTCTACGCGAACAAGTTCAAACTGCAGCCGCCGGATTCTCCGCTACCCGGGTCAGCGCTTCCGGTACTGTCAGGAGCAGCCAGGGCCAGAGCAGCCGCCAACCAGCTGGCATCGGGAAGAAGACCTCCCAGAGAGTCTACCACGAACGCGCACGATTGGGTCTGGCTGGGCAGAGCCACTCTCGAGAGAGCCGCTTGCGGACCGCAACAGGTATCAATGCTATACATTTTGACGAGTCTGAAGGTCGTCGTCCACTATGCGATATCATAACGCGCGAACGACGTCGAATCAACTTGCACGTATTCGCAACTATCGCTTATTCGATAGCATAGCATCGATGCGACAACGATCTTAAATTATTTACACGTCGATACTATCTGCCAGCTAAAGCTGTCGAGTTTGAAGGCTGAATTTCATACGTTACACAGGCATTTAATTAAAGGGAATATTTGGATTAAACAAACAAATATTTAATTCCAATTTTTTCAGTAGATTTAATTGATATCTACGTGAAATGAAAAATGCTGTTATACATGGAAAGTCGAAGCTCGCAACGTTTTTCCCATAATTGGACGAGTTTAATGATTATAAGTAAGACAGTCAATGAAAGTAACAAGAGTTTACAGACAGTCGATGAAAATAATATCGTAATATGGCAGGCACAATAAATAAGAGCGGATATTTTTGATGATTCACAAGAAGAACCAAACTTCCTGGAAAGGATCCTTCTTATTACCTGTAGGGTCGGGAATAAAGAGACAGAATAGAACGCCTACTCGTGAACTATTTATAACACAGTCGCTGCCAGTAACAGCAAGATAACGATGTTATATCGTTCGTGCGCTGTGCTGTTATTCGGGCCACGATCTTTAAGCCCCTAATTTTTTCAGCTTCACAAGCGAATCGAACTAAATCGACAATTTGTGTTTCAGGTAAGAGTGACTAGTAACCCTCTAGCTGGCGAAAACGAGGGAGAAGCGAGTGAATTGGCAACTTGTTTCGACAATCCAAACCACATCGAGCTACCTTCGGCGGGACAGCGTAGCAATGGATCAGGGCCGATAGATACCACGACTTATTGCAAGAGGGACAAACTGCCACGAAACAGTTTCGCGACGAAGCCCGTAATGAAACCACCTACGGTGGTATCAGGAACTACAATCGCTACTTCGACATCTATGGCTACGTCCACCGTGGCATCTGCACGAAACGAGTAATTGTTTTATTTTATTTTATAGGAGAGCAGAAGGATTAGAATCTAAATGCTTTCTGTCGCTCGAAATATAAAGTAACTGGTTTATCTTAACGTAGCAACGATGACGTCCCACCACCCTTACCACCGCACGGAATCCCCGTAACCTCGGCGATGGCTTCAACGACTGCAGCTGTTCCCGTCGGCGCAACGACCAACAACAACGGCAACGAGGACTACAAACCTCCCGTACCACCACACAGAAACACAGGAGTGATCGTACGACTACCGGAAACACCTAGGAAACATCGTCACAGAGCTTCGAGTAGCAGCGCGGGCGCTCATCATGGGAACAATCAGCGGCACAGCAAGCAGATTCACCATATCAAGCCACACGGTAAAGCTAGAGTAGGTAGTCCGAAAGAGAACGACGCGGAGGAAGAGGAGTTTGTGGAGCTAGTGACTCACGATGACAACAGGCATTCGAAGGACGCGAGAGCCAGAGAAGTGAAGAGGGCGACGATCGTCGGTAATCCAATGTTCTCGTCGTTCTCGACGAACGCGATCGCCTCGTCCATGAACATGTCCAGCCCGACCGTGGCCTCATCGTCCTCGTCACCGCCTAACTCGTCGCCGTCCTCTACCGCTTCCTCTTCCTCGTCCTCTTCTTCGTCGTCCGCGTCTTCGTCCCACGAGCAAGAGGAATCGGTGGCGTTGGACGACCTGAACCTGGGCATGGACTACAACCAGATCATGCAGTACTTCGACAACTTGAAAGAGTCGAACGCCTAGGTGATGGCGTTCGGCCTTGAAGAAGGCCGAGTAGTCAAGGTCGATACGAAACCCCGGAACCCTCGTTGAGACTAAACGGCATAGCCGGATAACGAGCTCGGCCGCGTTCTCCGCTTCCTCTTTCGCCGCGTAGCACGTTCGCAATGGAGAACCAAAAGGGCCGAGCTCGCGCC